TTTGTTACTGTGTACAAACTGATTAATAATGTATATATTCTCTTGAAAGAATATTACATCTTTGAGATTCATCCATATTGTTGCATATTGGCTACAGTACATTGTAGTAATGCTTTATAATATTGCATTATTTTCCAGTGAAATTTTACTTTTGATGACCTTTGGACTGTTGTCAGGGTTCTCTATAGTGAACAATGCTGCTGTGAACATTCTCGTGTTTAGTTCCTGGTATATGTGTATAAGACTTGTTCTAGAAGTGGAATTTATGAATAATAGTGTAGAAAAATGTCTAATATTACCAAGATAATCCCAAATGATTCTCCAACGTACACTGTCATCATCCACTGTTTTGTTACACTGTACACTTGCCAGCTTTTCTCTAACTTCCTAATTTTTACCAGTCTGCTAGGTATAAAATGGCATTTTTCTTATAGTTTTTGTTGTGGGAAAAATAGGGATAAGGCCAGAGGCACAGGAGTGAAAGAATTAATCAGAAACAGAGTGGAGAACAGAAAAGGCGGATTTATTGAGATACACTGCTAAGAGGAGCAGCGGTTGAGATGGGAGAAGTCTGCACTGGAAGGATTTGGGTTTCCCTTTTTAAAAAAATATTTATGCATACAGAACTGGGGTACAGGCCAGAGGTGCAGGGGCCATGAAAAGATTCACCATAGTAGAGTGGGGAGCAGAACTGACAGATGGAGGAAGTACGCTAATGAGGGGAGCAGGGGGCGGGTGTGAGACAGGAGAGTTCTGCTGCACCACGGCAGGGTGGGGATGGAGATTGAACTCCCAGGGAAGCTCAGCACTGTGCTTTTAACGGCTGCACCACTAAGGAGGGCCTGTTTTCCCAAGGCTTTTCAGGACTAGGGAGTGGTTTGACCCAGTAAGTGCTGGGATGGCTGGTTTTGGGCATTGACCTAATGTGTCTGGCCCTGCTTAGGCATTCATGATCAAAGTAACCAGTCCTATGGCTTGGTTCCCATACCAATCTTATTCCTTTATTCAAGCCTCCCAAACCTTCTGGGCAAGGGGGTGGGGAGAGCTTAGCTTTTAAACTTATTAAATGATACCCTGAAAGCTTTGTTTACAGGATTGCTAAAGAGACTGAGAAGGTTTCCTAAAGTTTATGGGCCATTAGACTCTTCTCTTCTTGAAGCACCTGTTCTGGAGTAACTGATGAAGGATAAGGACAAGGAGTTAGAGCTTGGCCTGCAGGACAGAAGTGCACCCTACAGTTTTGCTTCACAGGTATTGTTAAAGGGAAGGATGTCCTAAAGGAACTCTGCAGAGTCTTGTGGACTCCACCCACTACTCCAGCTTTCTGGATTCTACCCACTATGCCAGTGACTGGAAACTACAAGTCCCAGCAGTACCAGGGAGAGAACTGTGAGGACCCAAGGGCGGAGCTAAGCAGGAATTCTGGGACATTGGGGGATAACTAGGGCGTCATTTCATCTCTTGCTCGGATCTGGGAACCGGCTCTCTGGACCGCCTGACTCTGGACTTGCAGTTAGTTTGTTACCAGAGTTCCAAGTCAGCCAAGCCGGTAAGATATTTCAGTTGTTTCCTTTTCTTTTCCCCTTTTGTAAATAAGCCCATTTTGACCCTTTTGTGCGTGCCTGCAGTATAACTGAATTTTAAGCGTGCGGGTGAGGCCCCACAGACAGGCAACCCAGTCACTGTGGGGTGCCCTGAACAGTACCTCCAGTGACTGAGTTGATGCCCTCCTATTTGATGGAGGTTTAGAATAGAAAATTTGGGATGGAGGTTTCTAGAAATGATTAAGAAGTCATTAAACCAGCTATGGAAATGTAAAAATTCTTAGGCAGGACTGGAGGTTGTCAGTTCTCGAAGGAAAGCATTCCCCAGAAAGACCACTATATAAGGAAACTCCTGCCCTGGCAAAAGACAGTGCTTTGTCCTAAGAGAGCATCTGACTGATATCTCTTAACATACCTTCTTCAGAAGCACTGCTCTCTGGCCACCTGTGTTTATGCAGGCGCCTTCCTCTCCTGTTTCTACTAAACCAGCATTGCTGAATATAACCTTCACCTGCCTTTGTCTTTACAACACCTTCTCCTTGGTAAACACCAAATGCCATTGAAACGGGAACTGAGGAAACCTTTCTCAGAGGTAACCCCAAGACCCCACTTACTGGACCCCAACATCTTATCAGAACCCCATCACTACCCACCTACATCCCACTTTACTTAGTGACCCTAAAACCCCTGTAAGACAGTGTCTGTCTCATAGACCAGCTCCAGGCTGTCTAGCGAAGCAGAAAACAGAGATGATGTAGCCCAGGCTCCCTGCATGCTTCACCATCCACAATCAGGTGAGAATAGGCGACCTCCCTGCCCCTAGCCAGCGCCATGATGCAGGCTGCTCACACCAAAATTGCTTCTCATTTAGGTCAGTCCACTGGCCACCCCAGTTATACAAGTTCCTTCTGTTGTTAGGTCATCCGTGTTATTAGGCGATCTCATTCCCCAGGTCAACTAGTATAGAGCTAGGCGCTCTATACTAGGCAGAAAAGGGAAACAAAAATAGGGCCCAGGGGGGTCCGCAGCCGCTTGCTCCGACCTCGCTGCCCCTCCCACAACCGAGGTGTATCAGTCCGAGCCCGCACAGCCGAGGTGTGGAAGTCACATGACCGCGCCGGGCGGAAGGGGCGTGGCCAGAGCTGCCTGGTCGCCTAGCAACCCAAACGAGCGCGATGGAGCTGGATGGCGGCAGGGAAGTTGAGGCCAGGAATTACCTGGAAAAACATAAGATCAAGGAGTTACTGAACTATCTCACCAGCACTCTCTTGTACTTCCGGCCGAGTAAGTGTCTTGCCTTCCGCTCGTTTTCTGCCCCACGAGCCTTCGGAATCTAAGCGGTACCTGAAATTCCCGGTCCTGTAGTCTCGGTTTGGCGTTTTGCCGTCTCAATTACCCGATCAGTCACTGAAAATATTACCTTGACTGGGATATTTTGAGAAAGAGACACCATAGTCACATAACTTTTATTACCGTGTATTGTTGTAATTGTTCCGCTTTATTTTTACTTGTTAATCTTTCACTGTGCCTAATTTGCAAACTATCCCAGGTGTGTACTATAGGAAAAAGCATAGTATATATAGTTTGTTACGGTAGGCGTTTCTGGCATCCACAGCAGCATGTGTGGGATCTGAGGAAAACCCAATTGCCTGCAGCCCTTTCTCTCCGGGATACTCCAACTTCCCATCTCCCACCTGCACACTCTCTCATTCCCTGCTGCCTTTCTGCTATTTGAGTCCGAGTGCAATCAATTAACTGTGTGTCCTTCAATTAAACAAGTTCTTAATTGAAAGATCTCTTTGTGCCTCCATGTTCAACTAATGGCCGGTGTGAGAGAGGCCCCAAGTGGCAGCCTTGTCCCTAGCTCAACTCCTTAATATTATGTGACTATGGGCAAGAGCCTGAACTTCTGAAAAAAAAAAAAAATGGGAATAGAAATAGTATCAATCTCATGCCTCGGAAAGGTTAAAATAATAATATGTTACTCATCTTTCATGGAGTTTTTAATCAGGTAAAGCTGATAGAGTGAGACAAAGTTTAGTTTAAGATTTATATTAAGGTGGAACTACGAATGCTTGTGTTCTATTCCCAGCCAGAGAGCTGATCCACATGGTGCAGGAGACCTCTCCTGTCTCACCCATTGCTCCCCTCAGCAGTGCATTTCAGTAGATCCACTTGTTTTGCTCCCCACTCTGTCTCTGTTGCATACTCTCATGCCTGAAACCTTTGGCCTACATTCCAGTTCTTCTATGCAAAAATAAATAAAATCTGTTTTAAATTTTTGTTAAGGCTTTATGTGCTTCTTCCTAGGATGCAGAACTAACTGGCTAGCATCCATAGTACTGTCCAAAATGGCAAATGTATCCATTTGTCACTATGTAAGGAAATGGGAAATATCAAGCATCTGACTTTCCAAAAACCAACCAAACATTAAGTATGTACAAGGTGATCAAATTCTTTCCAGTTATTTTTAAGCAATGAAACACTAAAAACTGCAATAAATAAATTTTTTAAAAGATATTTATGTGTATAAGAACTGGGGTACAGGTCAGAAGTACAGAGAGTGAGAGGATTCACCAGAGACAGAGTAGGGAGCAAAACAGGCATATTGACTGAAATACACTGCTGAGAAGAGCAGTGGGTGGGTCAGGAGAGGTCTGCTGTGCCATGTGGGTCAGCTTCCTGGCGGGGAATTGAACTAGTGCTGCAGTGGCTGCAATAGCTTCACAGTGCTGTGCTTCAACCCATTTTGCCACCAGGGAGGGCCCAATAAAGTTTCTAAGACTTCACTTTTTTTTTTTTAATAATATAATATAACTTATTATTTTTTTTAAGATTTTATTATTCATACAGAACTGGGGTACAGGCCAGAGGTGCAGGGGTGGTGAGAGGATTCACCAGAGACAGAGTGGGGAGCAGAACAGGCAGATCGACGAAGTACACTGCTGAGGGGAGCAGCGGGCAGACCAGGAGAGGTCTGCGGTGCCATGTGGTCACCTCCGGGGCAGGCAGGGATCGAACTCATGCGTAAGTGGCTTTAGCTTCTTAGTGTTGTGCTTTAACCCACTGCACCACCAGGGAGGGCCAATATAACTTATTTTTACATCTTCTTGTGCATTTTCCATCTCAATTGTAATCCCTGTGGACTTCCCATCACCAAGTCACCCATGTGCCATCACCATAGGCCAGTGCATTTCCCTCCCCCACCATTTTTGATCCCATTCCCCACTCAACCCCCCTAAAATGTCTCTGGTATATAGCTGCTCATTGTTACTGTTATTTTCTCACCTGGTCCGTTATACTCCTGCTATGAGTGAAACCATCCAGTATTTTTCCTTTTCTTTCTGGCTTATCTCACTATGCATGATCTTTTCCAGTTCCAACCATGTTGCTGCAAAAGGTGTGTGTTTGTTTTTTTTGGGTTGCTGAGTAATATTCCATTGTGTATATGTACCACATCTTTTTAATCCAGTCATCCACTCTTGGGCATTTGGGCTGTTCCCATGTCTTTCCAGTTGTGAATAAAGCAGCAATAAACATGGGGGTGCAGATATCTTTTTGAGTCAGTGTTTTTGTGTCTTTTGGGTAGATACCTAGGAGTGGGATTGCTGGGCCATATGGAAGCTCCATGTTAAGCAGTTTGAGGAACCTTCAAACAGTTTCCATAGTGGTTGTACTAGTTTGTATTCCCACCAGCAGAGACTGCACTTTTTTTAATGCACTGGGGAAACGTTGCTATGAAACCAAGTTTCAAAAACCTATGTTTTGGGAAAAGTGAGTAATTACTGTCTCTTACTAGTACTTGGTACTATGATGGTGAAAATAGTCTCTTGCTGTTAAATACAGTAATCGGGGGATGGGGGGTACATGTGTAAGTACACACACACACATGTGCACACAGTGGATTCTTGGTATTTGCAGTTTCCTGGAAACTGTTTCCTTATTTGTGGATTAGAAAACTGTAACATTGGGGCCTCCCTGGTGCCACAGGTGTTAAAGACAGGGCTATCAAGCTATCAGCAGCCACTGTAGCACGAGTTCTCTCCCCAGCCAGGGAGCTGACCCACATGGCACAGCAGACCTCTCCTGTCTCGCCTGTTGCTCCCCTCAGTAATGCGTTTCAGTACATCTTCCTGATCTGCTCTCCACTCTTTCTGGTGAATCCTCTCACCACCCCTGCACCTCTGGCCTGTATCCCAGTTCTATATGCATAAATAAATAAATCTTAAAAAAAATACTTTGTGGTTTACAATAAATAGCAGCATACCTACCCCTAACCCAGAGTCCTGAGCTACAGAATAAGTGACTTTCACCTCCTTTTGTGATTAATTTGGTATTTCTAAATAACAGACTTAACTACTGCTGCCTCTTAATGTTTCTCCCCAAGTTTAGAATTAACTTTATACTATGGAATATGAAAATTTAGTTCTCCTACACACACACACAAATGCTTCCCACTCCCATTTTGCCAATAAAATTGAAACAGTCTCAGTGTGATCAGTATTCAGAACTTATATTAAATAAATATCCACAGCTAATCTATACTATATACTATAGCTATAGTTCCTTTGTTTTCCCTAATCATATATTTTAAATGTTTGCTGAGCTTTTCTGTGTAATTATCACTAATTCACCTGTATCTTTTTTGTTACAAATATAGAGCCCTATCATTTACATGTATATTCACCAGGTAATCATCTCCTCTACAACATCTCCAGCTCTGTCCTCCTCAGTCCGTACTGGTTGCCTGGCTGCAGTTATTAGTCAGAGATTTCCCTCACTCTATTCTGAAAAATCCTCTTCACCTTTCCCCTGTGCTTAGAGATTGCTTTCAGGCATTTGATTTACCTTTCATGATGACTCCCTTCCTCTGACAGAACATAACCTCCAGTGGCTTCCTGAGACTGCACAATGAGAAATAGTTCAAGAATTCACATTATAAAAATCTTTTTATAATTTTGGGGTTTTTTTTAAAAGATTTATTTATTCACATAAGAACTGGGGTATAGGCCAGAGATGCAGAAGAGTGAGAGGTTTCACCAGAGACAGAGTGGGGAGGAGAACAGGCAGACTGAGGAAGTACACTGCTGAGGGGAGCAGCGGGTGAGTCAGGAAAGGTCTGTTGTGCCATGTGGGTCACTTCCCTGGCCTGATGGGATGGAACTCATGCTGCAGTGGTTGCGGAGAGCTTCATAGTGCTGCACTTTAACCCATTACGCCACCAGGGAGGACCATGTCTCTTTTTTTCTTAAAGATGTTTTTATTTTAAGATTAAGTTACTTATGCATACAAGAACTGGGGTACAGGCCAGAGTGTGGTAGGTGAGAGGATTCATCAGAGACAGAGTGGGGAGCAGAACAGGCAGATCAATTGAAATACACTGCTGAGGGGAGCAGCGGGCAAACTCATGCTGCTGTGAGTGGCTGAAGATAGCTTCATAGTGCTGTCACTTAGCCCGTTGCGCCATCAGGGAGGCCCCATTTTCATGGGTCTCTTATTCTACTCTCACGTATGATAACTAAGGTGGATACAATTCTAGATTGAAAAATACCACCCTTAAAATTCTGAAGCATCTTCTAGTATCATTATTGTTCTGGAAAAGTATGAGGTTAAAATGTCATTACATTTTTTAAAGATTTATTTTATGTATTTATGCATTTAAGAACTAGGCTACAGGCAGAGGTGCGGGAAGTGAGAGGACTCACCAGAGACAGAGTAGGGAACAGAACAGGCAGATTGATGAAGCACACTGTTGAGGGGAGCAGCGGGTGGGTCAGGAGAGGAGAGGTCTGCTTGCCACTAGGTCAGCTCCCTGGTAGAGGATAGCTGAGGAGGGCTTCATAGTGCTGGAACTTAACCCCTTATGCCACCAGGGAATCCCTCATCACATTCTTGAAGTGTGTGTACAAGATACTTTTTTCGCTAAGTTTTTAGGATTATCTTTTTGATCTTAACCCTGCCCTTGATGTTTATTTCCTCTCTTGATTTTGTTGTTGTTTTATTTTTCTAGATACCCTTCTACATTTGTAGAATTTTTCTGTCTCCTGCTTCCTTCCTGGCCTTTCTCTCAAGCTCCTTAGTGTGTCAACCACTTTAGTATCTGGAGACTTCTTTTTTCCTTTAACATAAAAAGCTTTGAAATCCATCTAGCAAAAACTGAATTCTCCTGTAGAAAGCATGATGGGAGGAAGCAGATTAAAACAAATTCCCTTAGCTGCTAAGGGATAGGGAAGAAAAGTCTAGGGCATATTAATTTTACATAAACCCAGCACACAAATCATTTATAGTTATCTTTTTTTTTTTTTTTGAGATGCCCTTGTCATGTGTAACAAAATGAACTTGAAACATCTTCACACATTCCAAAAACAAAGAGGGAAAGCCATATTGAGGAAACACTGATGGGAGATAGGAATGAAGAGCCCAGGATTTTGGGTGAGGTGGTGGGAGGGAAAAAGAAAGGCTAAGTAAGTCTTGGCTGGCATTAAGTGTACACGTAATACTTCTCAGAGGTTGCTCTTTGTGGCAAAGGAGACTTAGCCTGACTACATATAAAGTTTCTTAGTCACTTGTTTTATCCTAAACATTTGTATTTTGTTCTATAGTTGTAAGCATGTCTTAATATAAAATCTTTATATTACCCACTGGACATGCTTGTCTTTACTCTGGGTCTTTAGAAAGCACCTTGTATTATGACATGTATTTGAGTATGGAAGCCTTGGAAATGTAAAGGAGTTACAGAAATTAAAGACTAGACAGAGTGCTTGGTCTATTGTCATTGAGAGGACATGTCTGTGATCACACATCTTTAATTCCAAAGTGTCTGAAAATTAGATTTACCTGAGGATCTTTTGTAAAGAATGTGGCAGTTCAATCTCTCTACTTTTTTACTCACCCATCTGGGGTAAAGCGCTGGTATATCTAATTTGTTCAGTATCTTGCCTTTTCAGTAAGGCCTACACTCCAAGTGCCTACCACAGTACCATAAGCATAGATAGGTATTTAGTAATTGTTAAATGACTATAGCTTCATTTGTGACATTTTAAATGTGTTTTTTTTTTTTTTTTGGTATAGAAGAACTGGGGCATAGGTCATAAATGCGGGGGAGTGAGAAGATTCACCAGAGACAGTAGGGAGCAGAACTGGTGGAATTACTGAAATACACTGCTGAGGAGAGCAGCACGCGAGACTGGAGAGGTCTGCTGTGCCATATGTGGGTCACCTTCCTGGCCAGGAATTGAACTCAGGACATAGCAGTGATAGCGCTTGAGACTTAACCTGTAGGCAACCAGGGAGGCCCCCATTTGTGATTTTAATTTCATATCAGAAAGAACTGAAACTATTCTTTTACAGAAAAACCAAGAGAATATTTAATATCTCTATTGGAACGACTGAGAATTGCCAAAATAACGGGTGTACCTTTTCCTCTCTTTATGGATAACTCTAACATTGTATCTATGTTTGAAATGATGGACTCTTCAAAGAAAGGCACCATATCATTTGTGCAGTTTAAAGAAGGTCAGTATCTTCTACCAATTGAAGTTTCTCATCATTTTTTTTTTTTAAAGATTTATTTATTTGTGCATACAGAACTGGGGTACAGGCCAGAGGCTCAGGGGCGGTGAGAGGCTTCACCAGAGACAGAGTGGGGAGCAGAACAGGCAGATCGACGAAGTACACTGCTGAGGGGAGCAGCGGGCGGGTCAGGAGAGGTCTGCTGTGCCATGTGAGTCACCTCCGGGGCAGGCGGGAATCGAACTCAGGCGGAAGTGGCTTCAGCTTCTCAGTGCTGTGCTTTAGCCCGCTGAGCCACCAGGGAGGGCCCTCTCATCATTTTTTAAGGATCACTAGCAGATGATTCCTATCTGGTAAAGTTTCCCTTCTCATTTTTCACAGCCCTGAAAACCCTGGGTCTGTGTACTGCAGATGAGGTTCTAAAAGATGATGGACATGCAATAACTTTGGAGAGATTCAAGAATGAGGTGTAAGTTTCTTTTTTAAATGATATTTAATATTTAAATAATGTGGCATGATTTTGAAATACAATACCTTTTCAAACAGAGGTTCCTACCTTGAGAGCATTTTATTCCCTTGAAACTTTCAGCTGACAGGAGGGGACAATAAAGTCACTGAGTCTGGGGAAGGGAGGGGAAGATCGTGGCATTAGACATCAAACTCCAGGGGGCAACTTCATTCTTTTCTCAGTGGGAAACCCCAGCAATTCTCAAAGAATGTGTTTGAGAAGCCACCAGTGTGCCAGTACAGAAAAGCTTTGAGCTCAGTACACTAGTTTGGGTTTTGTTTTTTCCCTCAAGCTTAATATGCTAGTTGAAAAATCTCTGTGCAGAGTAACAGAATTTCTCTCAAACTACTTCCTCAAAATTAAATTACTTACCACAAAATAAATGTTTATCAATACTGTATGTTGCATGCCAGCCTGACAACTCTGGCTTTGAGATATTATAGTATTAAGGTTCTAAAAAAAGTCTAAGTCAGAAAAAAATAATTGAAATTAAATAGTTGTAGAAAGCCTCCAGCCAGTTTAGTTCAACTGGCTTAAAAGTTTTACTCTTTGAGGATCTATTAATCAGGAAATTATTGTTTAGTGTAGTCTGAGGCCGGGGGGGGGGGGGGGGGGAGATTAGAAGACAAAAGGTCTAAGACTCCCACCTCAGCACCAGTTACATAAATATTAAAAAGAAGTTTAAGGACTTTCCCTCTCCCAGGAGGAAAGACTGAAGCGGTGTTCTAGCCTGAAATGTTTCAAGAAAGAAAAGCTGCCCACTGTCACATGGAATGGAACTAGAAAGTATTTTAAATAGAAAGGTATTTGTGGAAAATAAGAACAATCCTATTTTATCATCTGCTCAAAATGTGTTTTCTTATGGGAAATACAGTTAATTGCCAAACTAGATACAGGAATTTCAAAGATTAACATGCATCTAAAATTATTTTTCTTCTTTTGATGTGTTTGATTATCCTCAACCAAGTCTCCTTTAATTAAAATAGGAAATTGAAAATTGGTTATATTATTTCTGTTCTGGTATTTTATTCAATAGACACATTCAACAATTTGTAAATGGAAATACTTGTGTTTTCATAGTTTCTGAGTTTTGTGTTTTTGTTTTCTTAGGAAGGAGAGGACTAATGAAATGTGGTCAGCATTTTAATAACATTGTAAGTCAAAATAATAAATGATTCTATAAAATTTTTAGCTCTCCAGTTTCATTAATTCAGACTTCAGAGTATAACCTGAAATTCAACTGGCTTCTCCTTTGTTTAAAAACAAACAAACTCTAAAACAAAAGATGCATTATTTTCCTATATTAGGCCAGTTTGTCCTCAAATTAAGTAGAATCTCAACATCTTGTTGTGCCAGTTTGTAAATTCCAACTTCATTTAATGCTGCCGTGGCAGGAGGCTGCCCTGACGCTGACTGCAGGACATCTTTCAGCAGCAGGGCAGAACCAATGTTCAAATTCAGAACAATACAGGCTTCTTTTATGCTGTTAAAAAGAAAAAAAAAGAGAGATGTGCATTATGTAGGTCATCTAAATTATCCCATAAAAATGTCACTTTTGAGAAACTAAACACATTCCCTACTTTGTTAGTCTTTATGCCTTCTGTGATAACAACCTGTAGATTTATTATTTGGCTCTTTGAAAATGTTATGACTATGTATGTGGACAGAGTATATATTTTATGAAGTTACTCTGAGGTAACAGGATCATTGTTTTCAAGATGTACCCACTGTTTCCCCAAATATAATAACTGATGTTGAGAGTCTCTTACATGTATCTAAGGTTTTATATAGGTAGATTGGGATAAAAATCAAAGAGCCTGAAAGGTAGAATGTTAAAACAAAAAAGACAAACAGATGTCTTACTGAAACAGGCAAAAATAACTTTTTATAATAAATTTAAAAGAAATATTTTATAACATTGGAAACCCTCTAATTTAAATTTTAAATCAACTTCAAAAATACTAAGAAACCCTATATACATTCATAACTATCCTTAAGAGTCAAAATTAGCATCAAATGTTTAAGAACATTTGCAGGGCTGTCCTGTCATTAGATATTAAATATGTTTAGCAACTCTCTTGACCACTTTTGACTATGCAGGTGCCTCTCTCTCCTTTTCCTAATAAACCTGTCCTTTTAAAAAGTAAAAAATAAATAAATATATTTTTAGTTTCTTATATTTACCACCTGTCAGATCTATACTTGCTTTCATTTTCTACGTAATTCCCTAGAAATAAGCTTGTTAGAAATATGCAACCAAATATTAGAAAGCAAAGCTCGGCATATAGTTGACATCCAGTTCTGGTAAACTTGGGGTCAATGGTCACATTTTATATTATTTTGGTATACAACAAATGTTTAAAATTTCAACTGATGCTATATTTATTTGACCAAACATCACTGGAAACCTAAAGTTGTATAAAAAAAAAAAAACAAAAAAAACCTCCTCTAATAAGTTAACACATCAGTATTGTTCAATATTGAACTTACTGCTTGAAATAATTTTCTGGTCTCTTGCAATAGTGGGAAAACAAAGGGAAAAGATTCCGAGTCATGTCAAACTGCAACTGAGTAGCTCCTCCCTCGTTGAAATGATTAGCTAGAATTATCTGAAACGAAAAACAATTCATGTAACAGCTGCCATTATCACACAGCCCCCAAATACAGGCTACTTTTACTTACTTCTTGGTAGATGTATATATCCAGCTTCTCTACAAGCATTTGCCAGAAAATTTTAAATAAGGGGAAGCAAAGCTGCTGCTCTAACTGAAGTAAGCGGTCTCGCAGTGTGAGCAGGAAGGGGCAGGCCGAGCTGGACAGGGACATGACCGCCTGCTCTGACTGTGAGGGCAGAGACAGCCACCTGGGAAACAGAACAGTGTCACCTATGCAGCACGTTCACGGTCTATGAAATGATGTTTTAGCACTTCCACATGTTTAATTGTAACAACCAAAAAGACTTCAATGAATAGTTAAACCATTTCAAACCTGGGAAAGTAGTGTTCTGGGGCATTTTCGATTAGAAAAAATGTTCAGCACAACATTAAAAGCTTTCTTAGAAAGCAGATATACCTATAGCTATGCTTTGGTTCTCAAATATTCTTCCTTTAATGAGGGTGGAATTTTTTTTTTTTTAATAATAGTTTGTTTTTACATCATTTTGTGCCTTCTTCCATCTCAGTTGTAATCCCCGTGGGCTTCCCATCACCAAATCACCCATGTGCCATCATCATAGTCAGCGTACTTCCCTCTCACCCCATTTTTGATCCCATCCCCCACTCCACCCCAATAAAATGTCTCTGGTAGATTATGGTGATGGCTCACGGGTGACATGGTGACGGGAAACCCACGGGGATTACAATTGAGATGGGAAAAAAAAATGATGTAAAAATAAACTGTTATAAAAAAGAAAAATAACCAAATAAAGATGGAATCATTAGGGGAAAAAAAAAGTCTCTGGTATATAGTTGTTCATTATTATTATTATTTTCTCCACTCATCCTTTATACTCCTACTATGAGTGAAATCAGAGGATGGTATTTTTTAATCCCAAAATATAAAATGTATTAAGCATTTAAGACATCAGCTAATTTTGTGCTCTAATTTTCAGCAAAACAATGGAGATTAGAGTAAGACTTCCAAACTGATTGTAAGTACTCTGTATGACAGGGACTCTACCAGGACAGATGGATGTTTCTTATGTCAGGTACTCATGTCTGGTGGAGGTAAAAGAGGTGTTCACTGGGAATGGCAGCACTGGGATAAAACCTACAGTGCACGTACTCAGTGCTGCAGGAACACCTCTGTAAACTGGGGCCAGGCTAGATCAACCCTCTGGCGTAAACCACTTCTCTGTACATGCAGACGCAGCTGAAGGTTAAATTATGATCAGTTCCTTTGGACTAAGAATGTGCGAACATAGTTTAGAAAGATTTCTATCAAAGACAGCTAAAAGTTGGAGCACAAAGTGCTAAACTCTATGCTACCTAGACATCTTGGAAATCTATTACTTTTCTACTGTACCAAACTGGAATTCACAGTTGATACAGAAGAAAGTACAGAGGGCTTACCTTTCTTTTTTATACAATTTTGCAGCATCTTTAACTTCTCTAAAAACATGGTCTACTTGACGGGTCAACATGTCATGTTTCAGACGCTCTAACAGGTTAATCATGTCGTCAAAGACAGAGCTCTCCATAGAGGCCAGTTGCCCCAGCTGCAGTTTACTGAGAGTGCTGTTCTCTGTAAAGACCTCCAGCGCCGCCTGCTGCAGCTGTAGAAAGAACTAAAAGCAAACACATGTTAACACACTTACAGCACTACTTCTTTGATTTCAACAGCTTGAAATGATTCATAAGCCATTCAACTCACTCACAGTATGGAATTCAGCACCTTTTCATATATTTCGGTTCTGCATCTATAACCACAGTCAATTTTAGAGTGTTTAGAGTGTCCAGAAAGAAACCCCACACTCTGAAGACATCATCCCCAATCTCCTGAGGGCTACCCACAGCTCTCGAGGCAACCCCTACTCTTACTTTTCTGTCTCTATGGATTTGCCTAGTCTACATATTTCATGTCAGTAGCATCATACAGTGTGGCTCTTTGTGACTAATTTTAACTTGGTATATTTTCAAGATTTACCCATATTGTGACAGGTATCCGTACTCCCTTTCATCGCCAACTATTCTATTACATGAATGTTCCACATTTTATTTTTCCATTCAGCAGCTGATGGACATTGGCTTAGTTCTAGTTTTTGTCTATCATGAATAATACTAAGGATTTGTGTATACGTTTTTGCATGGACATACATTTTCATTTCTTTTGGGTATATACCTAGGAATAGAATTGCTGGATCACATGGCAACTCTATGTATGTTTAACTGTTTGAGGAAATGCCACACTATTTTCTACAGTGACTGCACCATCTTACAGTTCTATCTAGAGTATATGAGAACTCTTATTTCTCCACATCCTCACTAACATAGTTATCCTAGTTTGTATAAAGTGGTAGCCCACTGTGGATCTGATTTGCGTTTCTCTGACAACCCACTTCTTTAAGTAATCATCTTTTCCTAGGCAGATATAGACTTAGCAGATATGTGAGTTAGACTCACAATTTTTACAGCGGCATTCTAGGTAAAATTAGTAGCAGTTTTTCTGCCCTGTGGGAAAATAATGCGGTGGATAATTAGCAAAATGTTAAAAACATTTAAATATCCACTAAAAGAAGACAGGCATGGCCACCCTAGTGAGTACTGATGAGTGGGCAGCTGAAACATTCTGCTGAAACATTCAGAGACATGAAAGCACGGTCCTTTTGAGATGGTAGCCTGGAGCTATCTATAGCCAGGAGCTATCTATATAAAGCATGTCTAAGAATGAAGCTAGAAATTAACACTAGCAGCCACCCCTAATACTTTCAGTTACAAAACTTTCTTGCCACCTCACTCCACCCCAACTCCTCCACTTAAGACAGAATGAATTGGGTCTCTGTCACTCACTACAACTGAAAAAGTTCTAATTCTGAGTGGATGGATATGTTGGGCTTGGCACAGTCTGACAATGGACAGCTATTAGTACAGTGTGAAATGAATGAAAGGTGTAATCTGCCCATTCTTTTTCCAATTGTGTAACATGATTGTAAATGATTATTAAAAGTATTCACAGTCAGAAGGACTATACAGATGATTAAAGGACTCTTGATGTCAAACAACTTACCATAATAACCATACTAGAACAGACAGTTCATCATTGAAACTTTCAGTCAGTTCTT